AATCCAACAATGGACAGCATGTTTGGCATTCCTCAGACTTGTATCTTAAATTGCTGGAGGGAACATCTCAGTATGAATGCTTGTCTGTTGTGACATTTTGGGGGGGCTCGGAAGAAGCACTGGGCTGGGCTGATTCTTTGCATACTGTAGTGTAGAATGTAGCATCTGAGTCTGATGTTTGAACACCAATCTTGAGTAGCAAAGTAGAGGAATCAGTTGTCCGCGCTCTTCCGAGGTTGTGCACAGTGCGTGGAGATGCACTGATCTACCAGTAGGTGATGGGCTGCTCAATTTGTGCCAGAGTCTGCAGCCCTGCAGTTTCTAATGGTAAATACTGGGTCAGATATAATGTGACTTTGCCTAAGACAGTAATGGATTCCTTGCATTGTGGGCAATGTGGACTGACTGCTCAGCAAATGAGCCCCATCGGTGTATCCCGTCAGTGTCAGCCGAGGCCTGAACTGGCTTCAGTGATGGGGGTGGGTATGGGTATTCCTGCATATTACATGGTTCTACCTCCAATATTGAGTCTTGAGCCTTGTAGATGGTGGGATTAGCAGAGGAATCCAGAAGCCCGAGCCCATTCTGTTGAGACCGGGTATCGATGTTAGCAGTGAAACAGGAACAAAAAGGTGTATGAGTTTCCGACATGAAGTCACTGCAATGGCTGTGTTATGCTTCCTTGTCAATGCAAGCTATTTTTTTGTGTTGTCTGTGTGGCCTTTGGCTGATAAGACTTTTCAGAAGCATCAGTCTTGCAGTCCTGCAGTCCTAGGTGCCAGCCATGGACTCCGAGTCTGTTGCCAATCAGCAACAGCTTCATGCATTGTTTACTGAGGCTATGAATGTGCTCAAAGCAGAGATGGATGTGAGGACTGCAGACAACCAGCCAAAATTCACAGATGTCTGCGAATGGATGGCTGAGAAGCTGAGCTCTGATGGGGAGAGGTCGGCTTACCAGAAGCAGGTCGAGGACCTGCTGGCTGGGTGTGAAGCAGTGGCTGGAACTGGGACGACCTCCTTTCAGTCCTCAGTCCCCAGTCCTGCAGATCTCCAAGAAGGTGCTTGTGGCAGGATGTTGAAGCGGTTCCCTTTGAGACTGTGGCAACTGGGGGGTCATGAAGCCTCACATGTCAAGGGGGCCCCACAACTCCATGGAGTTCGGGACAACATGCAGAAGTTCATGACTGGGATGGGGTGTGAAACACACAAGTTCCCGTTGGAGATTCTGTTCGACTGGCCAACTGCATGGAAACCAGCTGGCACTAGTCCGGTTCCTGGCTCACCAATCGAGCCCTTCAGTGTCGGAGTCAGCATTGGGACGACTGTTACCATGGCATGCCACCTTCTCATTTATGCGGCCATGAAGATTGATTGGTTGAACAGTCCAAGCGTCCTAGACCATGTCAAGAAGGATCTGGCAGTTCGGTTGATGAGCTGTATTTGCAACTGGGATGTGATGGACAGATTAGATAAGCTAACAGTTTTGGTCTGTGTTTAGTTTCAACAATGAATGACAAGTGTACCACAAATGTGACAGGTATCTTCGGCACCTGCAGTCCTCAGTCCTCTGTCGAGAACCAGTCCATGGAGAGTTTGCGCATTAAGACAGATGCAAGTTCGAGGAGCAGGCCCTCGATCATTAACATGCACTATCTGTCTGGGTCTAAGACATGAGATCTATCCCAGTGTGTCGGTGATTGCTGTTGTATTGAGTGTCTGTGGTTGTTGATGACCATGCTGCTGCTGTTCCCTGTGGACCTTAAGGTTCGACAAGGTTGTGGCGGCCAAGGTGATGGCAGGATCGCGCAAGGTTCGGAGGGACATGATGCAGGAGGTGATCAACCGCCACAACAGGAGCACTGTTTCCAAGTCCCGCATAAACCCCGATGAGATTGCTGCCATTCAAGTGTATGATTTGGCCCCACCGACAGTTCGTCGGATGCTGAAGCTGGTGTGGGGTACAGAGGCCCCGCATCACACAGCTGTTCCTTTGTCGTGCATTGCACAGCCGTTCCCTGATCAATGTTAGAATTTGTGTGTGTGTGTGTTTGTTTGCCAGTGAAGATTTGTCACGTTAGTATTGCTTGTAGTTTCATGTAATTACCAGAGCCCAGAAGCCCATCCAAACAACAGCCCAGGTTCTTTAACCCAACCAAGCAGCTGAGTGGCAACCTGAAAGTCTCACAGGTCACCAACCCAGTTCTTTGGCTTGAATAAGTTATGGTTCTGTCGTTGTTTTAAGGTTGGTATGATTGTAGTCTTGATATTATATATAATATATAATTGATATTAGTATAATTATAATCCTATTTCAGTTCTGTTTTAGTTCCAGTCAGTGGGGCTAGACCATTGTATTCAGAACTACCATCAATTATTACTACAATACTACTACTACTACTACTACTACTACTACTACTACTACTACTAGTACTACTACCACAACCACAACCACCACTACTACTACTAAAAGATGATTCCCTGACCGAACATCTAGCTATGAACTTAAAGCAAGGTCTGGCATGAAATTGTGAAGTTCTCTTGGGAGAAGATCGAGGAGGTGTTGCACAGACTGCAGGCCAAGTGGAATGGCAAGATCCAGGAGTATATCGACAGGCAGCAGCCCCCCCCCATTCATCAAGCATCCATCTGTGCAGGCTTCCGTGATTCTGGCAAAGAGTCCCAAGTCTACCTCATGGCTTGTGTCATGGTGCACTTTAAAGACCAGATGAAGAAGGACATGACTCCGGATGAGTTCAACAAGATGATGAGCCATTGGCGTTTGGGACATTTGGACGGGAAGCTCTTCCCCGAGGTGGTTGCCATGAGGCCGGATTTCAGCTTGACCGACTTGGGGCTCCGAATGCAGCAAGAGGAGGCTGTGACAAATCTTGCAGTCCTGCAGTCCTCTGACCTGTTGGATGATGAAGCTACACAGGAGCAAGTGCGCAGCCTTACCAACATTGCAAGGTCCCTCAAGAGAGAGCAGGATGAGATGCGAGGCTATCGTGTTGCATCCCAGCGACACATGGTGCAGACAGTGGCAGCCGAAGCTGAGTACCAGAAATCCATTGCACAGGGTGTAGAAAGTGCGTGGGTTGAGCACTCGATCTACTATCAGGTCAGTGCCACCAAGACATTGGGAATGGGGCAGGCATTCGAACATGCGACACATAGGACTCTTGCCAGTCGTTTGATGCAGGATGTGAAACAGATTCCAGTCATCAGTGTGATCAACATTCCCATGCTGGGAGCCACTGCCTCATCATGTCTGAAGGCAATGGTCAGTCACATGGCTTCGGAGCTCCAGGCATCTTGCAATCTTACAATCTACCTGGTCGTTCCACCCAACCAGGTTGTTTTCGGTTTGGGCAGGCTCTCCAAGACCGAACGTGAGGACAAGGTTGCGGCTCACCAGGCCGCCTGGAAGTCCGAGATTGAAAGTATCCCTGATGTCAAGCTGGTGAAGGCCACTGCACTGTTCGATCATGAGTCGATGTACAGTGATGATCGACCACTTGGTGTTGAGTTGTGGATTGTCCAAGCAGCAGCTGCAGAGCAACATGTTTTCCAGTCCTCTGTCCTGCTGAAACGGAGAGCAATTCCAGGGCTCATGTCTTGTTTCCCGAGACAGTCCATGAAAAATTTCGCAAAGGACATGTCGTTTGTGACGGGTGGCAAAACAAACGGTGATCAAGACCTGGAGCGTGTCAGGGCAGAATTTATACCATGTGGTTTGGTTGGTTGTTTGTCTTGTGGGGGGATTAGGTTGATTGGGTGCTATTTTCACATTGAGGCAAGCAGTGGTACTCTGGTGCTGGCTTCCTGGCGGAGGTTCTCACATCCTTCGTGAAGGGCACAAAGCTGACAGAGAAGCACACTGTCTTGGTACGGGACGAGACATTGTATGATGCAGAGCTCAGCATTGCAGTGGCCAACTTGAATGCTGTCAAGAACATCACTTGCCCGAAGTTTGCCTATGTCGGGATTGCATGGGCTGGCAACAGCACGGCTAAGGATCAGATTGTGGCAAATGTGGAGGAAGTCTGCACTGAGTATGTCAAGGCAGCCATTTCCAGGAATGAGTACAATCCTGTTTCGCTTCCCCCCTCCCTGCTGTCTCGCCCAGTCTTGCAGTCCAGCAGTCCTCCAAGCCTGAAGTTGGAGTTGTTTGAGCTGACACAGCCCACTGCAAACAACGAGCTGCACTGGCTCCGGGACACCATCACCAAAGCTAAGGCATGTGGAGATGTGTTGCTTCCTGACAGTGAGGTCTGGAAAGGGCAGGGGTGGACGCAGCTGTTCCAGAAGCACAATGAGGAGTTCAACCCCGCAGAGGTCATCCGAGCCAAACGTGGTCCCGACACAGATGTTTCAGTGTTGCTTGTTGGCAAGGATGTTTGATCGATGCAGGACCCAGACAGTGCATGCTTGTGCGTGTGTGTGTGTGTTTGTGTTGTTGCATGTCTTGTAGCTCAGGTTGCATGTGGACAACACTGCAGAGACAGCATTGCCATCAGTCTTGCAGTCCTCAGACCTGGAGCACATGGGCAAATGTCAGTTGCCAGGGATGACCACCCATGAGTTCTACGTGAGCTCGGCTGGTGACTTGTACGTCAGAGGCCTCACAGACTGCATCCTTGAAGGGGCTCAGTTCCAGATTCACGGATTCTTCAAGACAGGCCGTGAGGCTTCAGAGCTGATGTCCAGTGCGCCGGATGCTGTCTACCCTTACAAGCTCACTGAGGAGTCCATGGTGTTGTTGCGTGGCAAGGCCGGCAAGACCCTGCCAGCATCTGTCCATCAGTTTGGATGCAAGCCTGGGAAAGTGAAGGACATCATGAATGCTTTGCTAGTGTCGGGCAACCCCAAAGCATCGATCCACCTGCATTCGTGCGAGAACACAGTCAATGGGAACTCCGTGGACTGGAAGGTCGTTGCCCTCGAGCCGGCTTGCCTCAAACCCAGTGTCGAGGAGGCCCCTGAGGACGGGAACCAAAAGTTCCCACCAGCTGTGGTGCCGCATGTGAAGCTGTCCAGTTTTGTGAATCTGAGCAATCTATCCCAATTCGATGTGGTTTTCTGTTTAGAGTATGATGACCAGGCCAACAAGCTCAAAGGCATGATGCCTCAGGCAATCATGAAGTGCAAGGCCAAAGTCTCCAAGGATTCCATTGCCAAGATGTGAATAGCAGCTGTTTTGCAGTCTTGCAGTCCTTCAGTTTTGCAGTCCATGAGGCAAGCTTGGTCGTTCCAGTAGACATAATAATAATCTACGATTCCAGCAGTGCTTCATCATTCCAAGCATTTTGTGCCTTTCTCGGCAACTGGAACTGTCTTGTGACTCGACAACTCAGCCATAAGCTGTTCAGCGCTGCTCGCAAAAAGAAGCACTACAGCATTGAGCCATTAGTCCTCCTTTGTCGACATTGTGCATCGTCATCATTCGTCGTCGTTCGTCGTCCTTCGTTGTCGTTCGTCGGTCTGTGTCTTTCCTTCTTGAGCCACTACACTACTTATTACTTGAACCCTATCTTTACCCTAAGGCCTTAAAACCCAACTTTGTGTTGCAAGCTCTGCAAGCTCTGCAAGCCCCTATTAAACCACTAAGTCTAAGTCCCTAAACCCCTAGACCCCCGATATAGAGTTAGGGTTTAGGGCTTATGGGTTAAGGTACTTGTCCAATGGACCTGGAGCCTTCAGGCTCTGACTCTTCCACTATACAATATATCACTATTATTATTATTATTAATAAATTATTCTGAGTCAGTCGTAGGCTTGAAGACTGAGCCTTCAGCTCTTGATACCCGGCTAAAAGCTACTATACCCTAAACCCTAAACCACCCTCTGCTGAGGCCCGGCCTCCAGCGGCCGAACCACAGTGAAGTGAAGCGCCATGAGTGGCTGTCTCTCTTTGGCAGGAGCTTGGCTTCTTAGTCTAGCAGTCTACAGTCCTGCAGTTTATCAGGGGCCTCTATGCTACAACAATATTAAAATAATAATTATTATGTAATAATATTGAAACTGCAGGACTGAAGACTGCTGAGGCCTCGGGCTTCGAAAGGTTTGAGAAGTGAGTCCTAATGGGACTACCGGTTTTGCTTGCAGTCTGGCAGTCTTGCAGTCCTCAGTCCTACAGACAGAATCAATACTAAGACTAGCTAATAAATAACAACAGGGGACCCATAACTCAGACAGAGGACTGCAAGACTGTCGAGTGCATACAGGCTTTGGAGGTCCTGCACTATGTTTGCACTTGCTGAATTGCATGACTGTGGATTGCCAAAGTCTGAAAGCCTACCAAGCCTCAAGTCTCACCAGCTTCAAAAGTTTGTACTAGTGAGATTGCAGTCCAGCAGTCTTGCCGTCCACACATTACTATTTCTAAGTCTACTTTAAGGACACATCAAATTTGTGAATAGGGGGCTCTTACTGAGGACAGCAAGACTGCAGACTGCAAAAAGCCTTTAGTTTCTGTTCTGACTGTTATGGTACTTCTTATGCCTCCGAGGCTTGAAGTGCTTCAGAAGCCAGTGATTCTTGAGGCTTCAAAGGTTGCTCCTGCTGCTGAGACTCTTGTTTCTACAGTCTTACAGTCTTGCAGTCCACCCACATTGTTCTACAATAGCATGGGACCAATAATCTGTAGAAGAATGGCACACTTACTGGTGGACTGCAGGACTGGCAGACTGTGTACAAGGCTTTGGGCCTCGAAAAGGCTCTGTGCAGGCTAACAGTCTTGACTTGTTGTTAGCATATATACATATGTCATTATAGATATGTAGACTTAGAAATCTATATCTACTGGGTTCCTTATCTGCAACAGCAAGACTGCTAGACTGTACGCACAATGGCCTACTTCTCAGGGGCAAGCAACCCAGAAGCAACCCTGAACATAACACAATAATAATAATAGTAGTAATATTTTTCACCGCTGTCACAAAGGTGCTTCTGCTCAAAGTCAACACATGCCCGTTCCTAGTCCCGCACTGCAGTCTTGCAGTCTTGCAGTCTTTGTGCTGTGCCATGGAGCCAATGGACCCAGGGCCCATGGATGACTGTGAACCGGACCGACGGGTACTGATGGAATGTGAAAGATATGCCAAACGAAAGTGGCAGATCATGCTCTGGCAAAAGAGTGAGAAGTATGCACGAGCCAAGCTCCTTTTGATGAACAGAGAGCATCAATCGGTTCCTCCCGGTGATCCTCCAGTGACACCAAGATGCCTTCTCGACTACTCCAAGCGTGAATGGGAAAGGACGTTTTGGCGTTTCAAGTCGAGAGTCCGCGCCTATGCAGACTGGCTCGACCTTATGTAATAGTAATTCACTGCACAGGCTTGCAGTCCTGCAGTCTTGCAGTCCTCAGTCCTCAGTCATACAGACAGAATATTTTACTGTTATCCTTCAGAACTGAGGACTGCA